TATGATAATGTTACAAGTTGAAAGGCTTCTAAGAGAAACCTTGAGAAACAGAAAAGTGGTGCAAAGTCGCACATCACTGATGTATATATGTATGTAAGCACTGAGCCCCTGCTATGCCATTTTGACTTTTTCACCTCTGTTCATAAACACTTTAATGACTTTTGAAGACTATTTTTAACATTGAGTATTTACGTTTTCCTTGAACAGCTGACTAATAAATGGATGAAGTGGTTCAAGTCTTAAGAGTTCATTTTGCCTCATTTGTAGACTGCGCATGGAGCTAAAACATCAGAATAGCCAGTAAATGTCCACAAGAGAAAACCAACGCAAATTTCCTAAATTCCTGGCTAAGCTGGGTAAACAGCATTAACAGGTCTTTGCATCAGGGTGACATGTAAACACTCACAGGAAAGTCCTGCTTCACTGATCCTACATACGCAACCACTTACACGTATGGAACTGTATGGTGGATGATAATCTGACAGTGCTTTCCTGAATTCGTAACTCCATCGGTTTTGACAAGATCTCCAACGGCACTGGCTTAAATGCAAACCCAAACCATCACAGAGTCTCCACCCTGTTTTACAGATGGCTGTAGACGCTCACTACTCTACCTCTCTCCTGACCTCCTCCGTACATACCAATTCAAACCAAAAATGTCATTTTTAGAGTCATTACTCAGACCTGTTGCCACTGATTTTCAGTATAGTTCTTGTGTAATTTGGCAAACCCCAGACATTTCTCTCTGCTTCCCTTCCTTGTCTTCCTTGACAGTCACTGAGACCATTTTTGCCGAGGATGGATCAACATCTACAGGGCCGGAAATGAGGAGTGGTGCAAGACGTTAGCACAGTGCTGTATGTTACTGCTAAGGACTCCTGCTAACACTTGCTTTCATTGTTGAAAATGGCTTTAAATTATAAGTGTGTTTGTGTGTGTCCCTCCCAAAAGTAAAAGCCTCCCAGTGGAAGCAGGCGACCACAGGTACGCATACACTCACATTCATCTACAGTAAGGTGCTGCTCTAGTTCCTATTTTTCTGCTCTCTGTTATCTAATCTAAACACAGCTTTCAGGAACTTCTCTTTCTTTATGTGTAAACCTGTTCTCGTGAAACCAGTGTTAAAGTTCTGCTTTCACTGCGGTCGGTCCGTGTCCATGAATCTGACACCAGACAGGTGCTGCAACAAGGTCTCCTACTGCTCCAGGACCTGCAAGCTCAACTCCTGGGAAGAATGAGTGCGTCCGGGTGTCAGATGGGAGTCAGAGACCCTCCACCCAACGGTTAGAGCCAAACTTCAGCAGCCTTAAAATATTTGATGACAGTTTGTCACAAGTGCTTTGAATATATGAATCACTTATCTGAATAATAAAATGATGTTTAGAGAACAATTGATGATACAGAGAATTTGTGAAATGCTGATTTAGTTTTGGATAAATAGAGCATGTAAATACTCTATTTCTTTCTTTCCAGCATCTGTTGACAGTGCCCAGAAAAATGATGTATCAAAGAAGTCCCAGGGCTTTGTCTGCCATCTTGAAATCCAAAAAAGCCCCCAGAGTGTCCAGTTCGAATCCCAGAGAGAACTAAAGCTGTTGAGCAAGGCAGAGAAAAAGTTCTAGAGCCAAAGCCAAGTCAATGTGATGGAAAATTAGAGCCACAACTGATGGATATTAAAATTTCTGTTTCATTATGTCTAATATTGACTTACCTAATTTAACAAAGCACTCTTAGATCACTGTATGTGGTTGAATGGTGGCAGCATTCGTGCCATAATATTTCTCATATTTATAGCTGTCAGATTATAGTATCAGATAACATAACAGTCTGTTATTATTTTTTCACATTCCTATGATGTTCCTCAGCTGACTGTGGGAGAAATGTAAATTATGAAAAATTATTATATTGTCCTTTTTGGAGCTTTCATTGCATTTTGTGGCCTTCATCAAAATATTGAGACTTTATTATTATGCTTTTTCTGTCCATACTTAGAAAAAATGTTTCACCCATGAGTCTATTCTGTTCATCTGGATGTAGCGTTCCAGATAAATATAGTGCCAAATCACAACAACAGCTGCCCCAAAGTGCTTTATATTGTAAGGTAAAGACCCCACAATAATATACTGTA